GCCTTAATAGTCAAATTCGTCATTTGACTCACCTTATAGAAATCAGTGACACAAATTGTATCCAACAACTTCGCATGGATCGAGATGCCTTTGGCAGGTTATGTTTTTTGCTAGAACATGTGGGTGGTCTCATAAGCACTAGAAATGTTCCACTAAGTGAACAAGCAGCGATTTTCTTAAGCGTTTTGGCACACCATAAAAAAATAGAGTCGTCAAATTTGATTTTAACCGTTTGGGCCAAACAATAAGCAAAGTATTCAACAATGTGCTAAATGCTGTGCTTCGGTTACATCCCATTCTTACGGTACGGCCAGCTCCAATCGATGAAGGTTGTACTGATCGAAGGTGGAAATGGTTTAAGGTGATAGTAATGGAATTTAATTCTTTTTATATAAAAGTCTTTTAATTCTTATTAAGTTTTACCTAGATAATAATGAATACATATCATGTAGGGATGCCTAGGTGCACTAGACGGAACGTACATACCTGTTCGTGTCCCAGCACAACTTCACCCCCGTTATAGAAACCGTAAGGGGTTTATATCAATAAATATGCTTGGTGTGTGTAACCAAGACATGAAATTTACTTACGCTTTAACGGGTTGGGAGGGGTCAGCTGCTGATGGCCTAGTATTGAGAGATGCCGTTAGTAGGACAGATGGTTTGCGTGTCCCCCTTGTTAGTTTCACATACTTCTTATTTATTCATGTAATCCTAAAACTAGCTAAATTGACGTAATAGTAATTTGTGTCTTTTGTCATACTATAACCAGGTAATTACTACCTATGTGACGGCGGTTATACGAACGGTCCAGGATTTTTAGCTCCATATAGAGGAGTTCGATACCACCTACAAGAGTATGGACCGGGTACAAGTTCCCCATCCAATCATAGAGAGCTCTTTAACCTTAGGCATGCGAAAGCCCGAAATGTCATAGAAAGGACATTTGGTGTGTTAAAAATGCGTTGGGCCATTCTTAGGAGCCCCAGTTTCTACAACATACGTACTCAAAACCGGATAATACTCGCTTGTTGTCTTCTCCAAAACTTCATTCGCACATCCATGTCGGTTGACCCATTAGAGGGAGACATCAACGATGATATGGCTGAACCCGTGCAGATGGAGGAAGATGATCTTGTACAACATGTGGATGTAGTCCAACCAACTGAAGAGTGGACTAGTTGGAGAGAAAATTTAGCATTATCGATGTATAACTCATGGTTGGCCGGAGATTAGGTGGCATAAACTTCATTTTTTTTTTTTTGTTTGTACGACTGTTTAATGTTATTTGTGTGATTATGATTACAACAATTGTTTTTTCTGATATTAGCTCTATGTATTGCAAAACATATTATTTTGAACCATTATTGTTGATATGTGTTTGTCCTTAATAACATTGTATATGTTGTAATTTGTATTATTTTCTTCAAAACAAAATATGGGTGTTGGTGCTACAGGTATGGAGTCTAATGGTGGGAATGGGCGTAGAGAATCTACCTCAAATAATCGGAGGGTTTGGTCATCAGAGGAGGAAGCAGCCTTAGTAAATGGGCTGAAAGACCTTGTTGCACGTGGTTGGAAGTGCGACAATGGATTTCGGTCGGGATATAGTGCGTTATTAGAGCATCACATGAAACAAGTATTTCCGGACACAGACATTAAGGCCGAACCACATATTTCTTCGAAGATAAAGGTTTGGAAAAAATATCACCTGTCCTTGAGCATGATGATGGAAAAGTCTGGTTTTAGTTTAACCCAGAGTGGTTATCTTGACGTGAGGGATGATCAAGTATGGACAGAATACTTAAAGGTGCGTATTTGCATATAATTTTGGCTGGAAAAGAAAGAAACTGGAGAAAAGTTCGCTGAAGCCATTTTTATTTGTGTGTTGTGCATATGTGTTGTGCTCATTCTACTAATGTCATTTGTGTCTGGGTGTTTATCTGTAACTACTAATGCTCATATTTCATGCTGTTGATGTTGATCGATAACCCGCATCTCCACTTCTCAACATTTTTTGTTTTTCTTTTTTTCATTCTGCACTCTGGAATTATTTCTATGTTCTTTACTTTTTCTGCATTTTGCTCTTGGAATTCAGTCTATGTTCTTTACTTTTACATTGTTGGTTTTATGTTGAGAAGTAACTGTGAGAAAGCTTTATTATTGGGATATTTGAATAGGTGTGGTGGTATTTTGTTTCATAATAGTTATATAAACTATTAGATGACTTAGCTATGCCTACAATGTTTATTCAAACATCTTTCAATCACATTGACATTTGTGTTCAAATCGGGATGTGCTTAAAAGCTATAACCTGTGTGTAAAATGTGAAAATGAATACTCCATTTTTTTCTTTTTCATCCCATTTTACACATGGTCTGCATAATGTTCGATTTTTTTATTTTTTTTTGAAATAATACATGGTTTACGTGTTTATTTGACTTTGTATAATAATTTTTCCATGTAGATCGACCCCAACGCAAAAACAATGAGGTATAAGTCTTGGCCATTTTATGCACAGTGGTGTGACATATTCGGAAAGGACAGGGCAACTGGTGAGAACGCTACAGGATTTGTTGATGCGGTAAACGGTGTCTTTAACATGCCTTCATCTCCGACTACTCCAAATGCACCTAGGAGATCAGAAACCAATAATAATACATGCCCAGCGGAAGAACATATGCATGAGGAGGCAAATGTGCATGATGGAGAGTGTAGTGTGTCTGCTAGAGAGAAGAGGTCAAGAAAAAGGAAAAAAATAGTGGAGGAAGACAATCAGTTCGTGGGGATGTTGTCGTCCTTCTGCAAGGAGACTGCGAAGAACATATCGGACATGGTGGTGAGGGTTGGTCATGCCCACGATGCGACCAAAAGACGTGGCAAGGTGTACGAGGTCTTAAAAGGTATGCCCAACCTAACCATGGAAGAAAAGCTACTAACCACCAAATACCTTTGCAATAAGACTGAAGAGCTAGACATGTTTTTTAGCCTTGATGACGATGCGCGGGTGAAAATGGTTCAAATGATTGTCAAAAATAGGTTTTAGTTGTTAAAAAGATTTGTATGGGATGTTGGCATGTCTATGTTGATGTTGATGTTCGGTATTTTGCACTGTTGTTTTCGATAAGTTGATGTTAAAAAGACTGTTCGGTATGTTGATGTTCGGTATTTTGTTAAGTAGGTTTTGGTTGTTAGACTCACAACACTGACATTTGAGGACGTATAGACTGAGATTGATGGTTTTTCTTTTGTTTTTTCCACTGTTTGTTCAGTTTCGTTTAGCGTATTGAATTTTTAGTTTTGTAAATAGCTCTATGGAAAGAGTCCTAGTTATATTTTCTCTCTGTGCATGCTTAATAGTTCTCTCTGTGTGGACTTGTAGCTCTAAGTAGAAATCTTTCTCAACATTTATATTTAGTTTATCAAGGATTTACGCTCGACATAGAACATTTTATGATGTTTCACTTTCAGTTTGTACTTGAAAAAAGACTTGGAATAAAAGCTTTTTGGTGTGTGTATATGTTTTGTAAATATTCCTCCGAAGCTGGAGAGTTAGGAGATGGAATATACTAGTCCTCTATACAGACATTTATTTATCTACTATACAAGAAAAAATATGATTCACTTACAAAGAAAGTAGCTGAGGCAGTGACAAAAGTAAATTTACTTGTATAGCAAAATAATGTGGATTTTCGTTATTTACATAAATGAATAATCCATGTTATTTAGATTGGAGTTTCAGATGAGAAAGATGCAAAATGACTGAACAGATTTGGATAAAGCACTTTTAATGTGGTTCTCGATGGATTTTTTATACTTCAACAATTCAAAAATAAAATTAATTGAAATTCACTTCATGTAAACCAGAAGGTACATTCGTCTTTTAAACTCGCAAATCCTATATTATTTACATAATCAATACATTATTGAGTTGGCCGATAAGGAGTTTTATTTAATAAAAAAAAATCTACTATTTTCGGTTTTACAAAAAAATAAATTGCTTGGAAGAACACATTTTGAGTCTTGCATTTACTAGGTCTAAGAGCAACAAAGTTACCCCTCTAGAATCCTTCTAATGTCTATTAAAGGAATTGTAAACCTTACTCACAAAGCATTTACTAGGTCTAATTATTCAAAACTTACAATTATTGTTTTTATTATAAAAACAACCTATCTTTCATTCTAATTAAAAAATAAAAAAAAATGTTTTGATATATATTTAATATATTTTTCATTCAAAAATATAGTTAATTGTTTGAGAAAATGCAAATGACCAAAATTATGTAAGAATATTAAAAATTACATTACATATAAAAGTAAATAATATTGATTGTAGCATTTAGATAAAAGTGGAATAAAGAGAAAAAATATAATATTGATGATAAATTTTTGTAAGAATATCAAAAGTGCATGAGAAATATTGATTGGAAGAACACATTTACTCTTGCACTTACTAAGTTCACTTACTCACAACTTACCCCTCTTCTAATGCCTATTAAAGGGGTTATAAAGTTTACTCACAACATATCCGATCTAATGTGCTTATTAAAGGGGTTGTAAAGTGAAGAAGCCCTCATACAAACAATTTCAAAGGAAAACATAAGCAATATTTGGCAACATATTTGTTGGGACCATTTTCTTAAATTTGTGTAAGAATTTTTTCTTTTCCTCACGTTTTTAGAATCTTTTTGTTTTGTTGTATTGCATGTTTGGTTAAGATATTATTATGTTTGCTCCCACGAAAATGTATCGCCACATGAATTGTGCAATATGCTTATTTTTGTTCTTTATTTTTTTTTGTGTGTGTATTGTAGTGTTCTCACGTGAATACGAGCATGGATACCAACGAAGACCTTCGTAATGTGGCGATACATCATTGTGGGAGTGACTGGACGGGGGAAGAGGAGGATGTATTCTATCGCATGTTCTTTGACAAGTGCCGCACAATAGACGTAGAAGATTATGAGCGTGAGAATGAGCCAGGTCGTAGGAGGTCCAATCCAATCGACGTGGAGGTCGAAGAGGTGCATGAGATGGATATGGAGGCCGACTCGGGCATCGATTCGGAGGAGTAGGGTCTCAAAATGAATTTCAGTGTTGGTCTTTTAACTTTTTTTGTTACGTATTCTTGTGATATCCCAACTTACATTATGTCTCAAAATACGACAAAAAACAACTTGAATTTGAGTGGACGAAAGCTTACACCATGCGCAAACATGACTAAGACATATAACCGATTATTAACATACATACATGCCAAGCATAACAATCTCTTCATTATCTATCAATATATCTATCTCCAAAATTAAATAAATACAATAAAAAGCTTTATTCACCAGAAAATCAATAAAATCTCGGTATACCATTGAAAGACTCAACACAATCTGTGTTCGTTCACAGGTTGGAACAAACAAAATAGTCGTCCTTCTCTATCGGCTCAGAGAGAGAATTCCTAAAAAAATTGAATACAAAAATTTTACATCCATTTGCAACACATGACGGTCGAAGTGGAAGCAATAGGAGGGGTGAACGGTTTTTTCACCTCCTCGCAAATCGGATCGTAAGAAGCCTGACAGTTACCGAGGCCTGCTACACGGCTCCTCGTCGGACATCCGATGGAGACACAAAAACGTAACCAGCTGTTGGCGTTGCTACGACCCGCCTGCAGATAAAACAAATAATAAGGATTTATGCCTTGTATCACACATCTTACACTCTGGTTTAAACACCAACTTGATGCCTCGGTGAACACACAGTAAAAAATTGCAAAGTGTTGGTGTTATAATTCACATCAGAGATATTTCATATTATTAAGAAAAAAATATTTATTCATAGTAACAAAGATGAATTGTGTAAAAAAATTGGAAAAATTCAACTGTTAACATTATAATAGCCTATGAAAGTGAAGCTACGTATCCTGAATTCAATATAGCTACCAGAACAAGGTACTGGACATATCTATGGCATTTTTTGCGACAGTTAAATAGGAATAGATATCAGTGATTGGAGATGATAAATAGGAATAAATATCCCTATTTGGAGTTGATAAGAAATGTCAAATGACCCTTGGCAACATCTTATTTACACCAAATAAGGTTAAGTTGGAATATCATAACTACTGAGCAAAACAAAACAACACTTGAGACACAGTACATAGCTCACAACTCACTTTAACATTAGTATTGAATATATGAAAGTCACTGCAGATTACTGGGTGCAGATACCATGGATTAGCCAGTATGACAGTCAACCAATTAAGCAAGAACCTAACACTACTAATAGCAAAATAAATCATATTAAGCAAAACAACTACAAAAAGTATTTGTCGGTTTGCACTGTATATTACAATTAAAATCGAGCTCCAAAACTTTTACCTGGCTAACACGTCGTTGCACGTCGCTTTGACTTGTTGAAACACTGTCGACCGCCGTCCTTTCGTTGACGCTGACTTCTACTTGGGCGGCAAAATTAGGGCTTCCAGGCGAGCAACTATTCGACGCTTTGGTGGTTGTTGGCGAAAACCAAGGTCAGTTGATCGAACTTTCTTTCAATTGCGCAAGATAACCGGTTGCCTTGGTCGTCGCCGCACGTGGTGGAAGCCGTGCCTCGGAGTCGACGAAATGAAGAACACAGCTGCGAATGAGAGTTTATGAGGAGATTGGGGAAAAATCCAATTTTGTTACCTCTTTAAATATGATTTTTTGCTCGATTGGAATTCAGACATTATACCCGAACCCTAGCCCCAAAGCACACGCACACAGTTCTTCGCCTCTTCTCACTCGACAGCGAAAGTCGGCCCGACACTGCTTCACAGTGTTGTCTGATCTGCGGAAGTGGCCCACATATCCGACTGCGATAACGATATTTTTCATATCCCTTTTTTTGTTTTGTTTTGAAGTTTGAAAGTGACAGGCTAGTTTTGCTCTTCATGTTTGGTGAGACAAATTTTCCTAAGCTGATGGTTTTGCTTCTGTACACTACTGTTAATCACACTTTTGATTGACTGCATCTTGATTTCATCTTCCTTTCCATCACACCTCAAGAGCATGTCGGAATTAAAAGCGATCATAGATACAAAAAATAAAAATAAAAATAAAGAATTGAAATGAATTTAGGAAAGGAAGAAAACCCAAATACGAGACCAAATTGTTGACATTGCTCAAGGTTGAGGAAGAAAAGACCGTCGTCACTGTGGCCCTCGTCCGCGTCTCCGAACCACCTGCAAATCGAGGAGGAATCACCAGAAGGAGTAGGGGCTAGGGTATGTGCGTGAAAGTGAATCTGAAATTGGGGTGAAAAATCGAGCATAATGAAATCTGAATTATTAGGGATAAAATTGTACTTTCTAACATTTGATATGGGTTTGTGTTGAATGAATTCATTTTTCTTTTTTTTAAAAAAAAATAATTATCCTATACATATCCTACATAACAAACACAAGATAAAAATAATCCAAACAGTACAATCCTACAATATGGTATTATTTTTGTCCAATCCCATCCCGTTTAACAAACAAGGGCTTAGGATAATGTTATTGTAATTTATCTTTCTGAATTGATAATTATTCTATCTTTCAACCACACCGATTTTTTAGTGTTAGTAACTACATAAGTACGTAGCATATGGATGGTAAGTAGTAATAATCAACTAAGAAATTTAGAGCGTGATTGTTTATAAGTTGTACAGTAAAAATCCCACTCAAAACTCAAATTTAACTCAACTCCACTATCTTCAATATTATCAATACAATTAAATAATATCAAACAATTATTATTACACATCACATCAACTTTAATTCATTATTCACCCACTCAAATAATTTTAACTAACCATCACTTCCAATCATTTTCTCCTACTTTTATATCAAATCAACTTTAATTATTTTAATTTAAATATTATTTAAATATATCCACTAACAACTAACCATATTACTTTTTTTTAAACTTAACTATAGTTAAAAAAAAACTAGTTTTTTACTAGTTGAATTCATATCCAATCACCCTCTTATTAGTTCTTCAAATTCGAAGGTAAATAAATTGATAAGAGCATCTGCATCGCTCTTCATTTTTATCTCGTTTAAACGCCCCTCCCAAGTTAATTCGGATGCGGCTCATCCGTTAAAAGGGGGGGACCACCTGTTTGTTCAATTGCATTAACACGTTCAAGCTCCTTTTTCATTTCTTTTTTCTTTTTTTTTTAGTTTTAAAATCTTACTTTATTTTAGCATGCGCAGCATGCTTATTTTTTTTTATTTTTTTTTTGTTTTAAAATAAATATTTATTAACTCTTTTTCCTTTTTGTTTTTTATATTTTATTTATTTTTATCTATAAATAAAGCTGAGTTTGTCACTTATTTTGCACCAAAAAATTTGTCACTTCTGTTACACCAGAAAATTTAGCAACTATTCATTTGCCTAAAAAAAATGGATCCGAATAATAGGCAAAATTTTCAAAATTTTTCAAGTTCTAATCCTAGCAATCCAGATGAAATTCCATTCTTCCAAAATTCACAAACTCCGCAAAATTTACCATTTTCACAAACTCCTTATCATGCACAATTTTTCCCACAATTTCCGTCAAATTTTCCTTTTATGCAACAACAATCCCAAAATTATCCAAATTCCACCAATATTCAATATTCACAATATCCTCCACAAGTATTATTTCAAAACCCGCCGCCTGAATATTGGCAATACATAAGTAGTCAAAATCTGGTGCAATCTTCTCCGCAACAATCGAGTCAATCTTCCGGATCTCAAATGAGGAAAGAACCTGATACTCAAACATACGTTCCAGAAACACAATTCCAGGATTGTGAAACAACTATTAATGTTGAAATCCCGAAAAACACGCGTGTTGCTGCTAAAGGCCGGAAAAAACGTCTACAATGGACAAAGGAAGAGGATGTGCAATTGGCAAAAGCTTATGTGACAATAAGTGACGATCCAATTACCGGTAATGATCAGAAGGCCGAAGCGTTTTGGGTACGTGTTGCAAACTATTATAACGAAAATACACCTTCTGATTATATTCACAGAAATGCTAATATAATAAGATCTCACTGGCATAATACGATTCAAAAAAAGGTGTATCGATTCAATGAGTGTTATAACAGTATTTACAGTGTGTATCGAAGTGGTTGTAGTGATGAGGATATATTAAGTCGGGCTTACGAAAAGTATCGTATTGAGAATGACGGTGTAGCCTTCAATCTTGAGCATGTATGGAGAATCCTTAAAGATCGTCCTATGTACACTCCACAGTGTTCTAATGATATTTTTGTTGAGAAAAAAAAAGACGAGAATTGATGAGTCTGGTGCCAGCAATACTTCATCAAAGGGGGGTGCAAGCATTGACTTAGATGAACTTCATGAAGTGGCTCGCCCCATCGGACAGAAGGCAGCCAAACGAAAGGCCAAGGGGAAAGGCAAATCTAACCTTGATGAGATGGCTACAGAATACAACAACATGGTTAAGCATCTTGCTGAGTTAACTAGCTTGAAAAAAGCTGAAGTTGAAGTTAAAAAAGCTACTCTTGAGGAGAAGAAACAGAGAAATCGTCGGAAAGACTATGATATTTTAATGAAGGACACAAGCCACATGACTCAAGAGCAACGTATTTCTCATGAAAAAATGTGTCAAGTAATTCGAGAGAAATGGAACTTGTAGACGTTGTATTATCTGTTTTAATTATCATTGTATTTTTGTTTGTTGTGATTGGAGGTATTGAACTTTTAGCTTGTATTTCATTTAACTTGTTCTTGTTCTTGTTAAGTTGTTAGTCAATCTTTCATTAAATTGTTCTTGTTCGAAATTAAATTTATAGTATGTCTTTCCACTTAAATTGTTCTTTATATTTGAGAGATATATTGTCTTTTAATCAATTTGCTGGTCAAAATCGATATGTCAGAAGATAAGATATGGTTCTGAAAAGTTAATCGATTTGCTGGCACAAATAAACATGTCAGAAGATAAGGCATGGGCTGTGGCACGTTTATCCATTTGATAACTCAATTAATGTGTCAGAAAATAAAGTATGGGCCGTGAATGACAGCCATATGCATTTGATGTCTATAATAATCAATTTGCTGGTCAAAATCGATATGTCGGAAGATAAGATATGGCTCTGAAAAGTTAATCGATTTGCTGGCACAAATAAACATGTCAGAAGATAAGGTATGGGCTGTGGCACGCTTATCAATATGATAACTCAATTAATGGTCAATATACATATACGTTGATGTCTATATATTCAAAGCGAACTCACATATATTTTCTCATTCTGCAAATCACAGTTACACACTTTAAATTCAATTAGAATCCTCAAAAAATGTCTCAAAATTCATATAGATCCGAGTCTAATTCATCATCATCCACAGACAGTGAAGATGGTGATGACACTAACGATTTAGAAGTTGAAATGATTTCATCAATTGTTCAACGAAGCCACGAGTTACTTCAAGCATATCAACATGAAACTGAAGTTCGTAGAAGAAGAAGGTTCATCCAGAGAAATCGTGAAGATGGGCATGATAGACTTGTAAGTGATTATTTCTCTGACCATCCAGTCTATCCGGATCATTTATTTCGTAGACGTTTCCGTATGCGAAGAGAATTATTTCTTCGAATTGTGAATGCACTTCAGACACGATCATCATATTTCCAGCAAAACATTGATGCAGTAGGACGACAAAGTTTGTCACCACTTCAAAAATGCACAGCAGCTATTCGTCAGTTGGCTTATGGAGTCCCAGCTGACCACCTTGATGAGTATTTACGTATGGGTGAGTCAACCGCTATCAAATGTCTTTTTAAATTTTGTGAGAGTGTGGTTCAAATTTTTGGTGATGTATATTTGAGAAGACCGAACAGTAGCGATGTTCAAAGACTCCTCCAAATGCATGAAGAAAATCATGGTTTTCCGGGTATGCTTGGAAGCCTTGATTGTATGCATTGGGAATGGAAAAATTGTCCAGTTGCTTGGAAAGGGCAATTCACAAGAGGGCATGGGTCTCCTACGATTGTCCTTAAAGCGGTTGCTTCATACGATTTATGGATATGGCATGCCTTTTTTGGTGTTGCAGGATCACGTAACGATATCAATGTATTATATGAATCTCCTTTATTTAATAATGTATTGCAAGGAAATGCACCAAACGTTCATTTTACTGTCAATGGCACGCAATATGCAAATGGGTATTATCTTACAGATGGAATATATCCAGAATGGGCTACGTTCGTAAAGTCTTTTCCTTGTCCGTCAGATCCTAAAAGAAAGTTATTTAAAGAAAAACAAGAAGCAGCTCGAAAGGATGTGGAAAGAGCATTTGGGGTGCTTCAGTCTCGATGGGCAATTGTAAGAGGTCCTGCTCGGTTTTGGTATAGAAGAAAACTGAAATTTGTTATGTTGACATGCATTATTCTACATAATATGATTGTTGAAGATGAAGGAGATGTAGTAACACATTGGCACAATGACGAGGATGAAGAGCCCGCACAACCTGTCCAGGGGTCAAATCGAGAATTTCAAAATTATATTCGTAGAAGTTCAGAGATACGAGATAACACAATGCATCATCAACTTCGTGCCGATTTAGTTGAGCATATTTGGACTCATTTTGCCAACAACTAAAAATATATTTTCTATAAATGTACTATTTTTTTCTTGTGTAATCTTAATTTAAATTATTTTGGTATTGTAATGTTCTTTCATTTTCATGTATTTAACATTTATTATTATAATTTAAAAATATTAAAATTTATTTTTATTGAGAATAAAATATAAAAAATTATATTGAATGAGTGGATAATGGGTCCCACATATGTATTTAAATGAATGTGTAGGAATGTGGGTGTGTGTTTAAATGGAGAGAGATTTAGTGGAATGATGATGTGTAGATGATGTGGATGAGAAATAGTGTTATTTTTTGATTGAATGAATGATTTTTGTGTTAAGGGATGTGGATGCCCTAACGAGCTTGGGATAAAAAGTAGAATGTGTGCGGGTCGGGTCTGATTTGTCAAAAAGCGACACCCAACCCGACTCGTTTAAGTTCGACATGTACAAATTATGCTCTTCAGCCTCCGCCCCGACGAGAACTTGAGCCCTAGCCGCACGGAGTTGTTCATGGTCGCTGGTGAGTTTGCTACCTTAACTCATGAATTTTTTATCATTATAATTCAGCAGTTTAGAAATTCCACTCGCAGAGGGTATTTCCGTTTGCCAGAGATTCTATTGCTCTGTATTTCATAAGAATTTCATAAGAACTGAAATCATTTGCTCACGTTTAGTATAACATTTCAAAATACTTGCTCAATTCTAATTCTATCTTTTTTTTTCCTTTTATTATTAATGGAAATTTACGATTTTGAATTGTAACCTATTGTTTTGGTGTGGAGGATTGAAGTGTTAGAATTAGAATCTGGTTCGAATATGCATAGCGAAATTGATGATTCAAATTGTGCTGAATTTCTAATTATTCAAATCTTATTCATAGTATCATTACTCTTGATCAGTTGTTAACCCGCGAATTGACGAGAAACCAGTTTCTCCATCTATAATGGACTCACCTGAAGTAGCAGATGTGCAGCAACAAGCTCACAGAGGGTCACCAAGTGAAGGCTCCAAGGTTTGCAGCTTTGTTCATTGTATACTGTTTTGTTTGTTCTTGAGTTGGGTCTGATTGGAATTGGATACTTATTTTTGGATAAAATGCTGGAGATAGCCCGAAAAGGTTAATCTCTTATAACCATTATAAAGAATGAGCTAAAATGAAACACTAAAGTGAATCTGATCTAAGTTTTAGAGACCATGAAGAAGATGACAATCTTGGATTTTTGATTATCTAACGATTTGCAATCGTTGTTTGTCCTATTTTATTTGATTTTGTAATGCTTAGTTGAATAACCTATGTGAAAAGTTATTTTGCCTTTTCTGTCAACTGATGTTTTTCGCGTAGTTTTTATTTATTCTTGACACTTAGTAATACTACACCTTTTCAGCATGAATCTCCGGACCATGTGAAAGAAAGGGATCAGGAGTCCAACAGAAGCAGGGACAGGGAAAGAGGTCGTGATAAAGACAGGGACAGGGCAAAGGATAAGGAACGTGGACATGAAAGAGAGAGGGATAGAGACAGGGAAAGGGAGAGGGATAGGGATAGGGATAAAGATAGGGAAAGAGATAGAGACAAGGACCGTGATCGTCATCACCGGGACAGGCACAGGGACCGAAGTGAGAGAAGGGATAGGACCAAAGACAGGGATGAAGATGACGACTACCATAAAAGCCGAGATTCCGAAAGGTGTGAAAATGTCACATAAATATAGAGGGTTTTCTGTTCATAGCGGCAGTATCTCTGTAGTAATGAAAACTACGATTATGTCATGGCTAATCTATTTCATGTTCAGTAGAAATTTGTTGCAATTGGGGCTTTTCCAGATAGTCATCTGCCTTTATTCAACTTTCATTTAACTATATGAGTCTAGGGTTATTCTACAGCCATTGTGTTAAAGGTGGCTACAGGCAATGTGTTTAGGTGTTTGTCTGATTCATGAATTTACTATTGTTTGTAGGCGAAGGGATTACGATAGAGATAGGGACGACAAGCACAGACGCAGATCTGGATCTCACTCTAGGACTAGATCTGAGCACAGATCTAGATCTAGGTCTCCTTCACGTTCACGGTCTAAAAGGTAGTATGTGTACTAAGTTCTCTTGTTACTTTGTGTGATTGGACCTGGACAAGGAAGTCTTCTATCGTACAAAATGTTTCCTGGGAAAACTATGCGGATGCACTTGATATGCACTGAGGAGTTATAAATGAAATTCTAAGCATTTTTCTCTGTCATGGTTTTGATCTCTTCTTCAGTTCTTCTGTCTTTTCTATTTTGAAGTAGTTAGCAAACCTATTGATCCTGACTACATGAAAATGTAGTTTTCATATTG